CTCGCTGACCAGTCTATCCGTTCGTGGAACTCACAAGTCCCTGCCCTCCCTTGAACAGTAGGAGGCATATCTCGTGAAATGTTAACTGAGATTCTATATTTTAAATTTAAAAAAAGATTTGTGAGGTGTGTTCAGTTAAGTTCAGTTTTATTAGGGAAGTATAGGTAAATACCTTTGAACTCCCTCTTGTACATAGCTATGTGGAGGTCATAGTGATTATTATGCAGCATAATTTCAAGATATTTCAGTAAATTACCCAACTGTGCACAGTTCGCGGCCTCACTGGGATTTGAACCCACGCCAACAAGGGAATGCTTGAGTACAGCCAACTATTGATTTTTCATCGGTTTTTAAACGTCCTTTTGTATCCTAGCAGATTTCGTTTACAAATCATTCATAAAAAATATTTTTCTTCTAGTACTACTTATTCAATGCTAGTACGCCTACTCCATACTTTGTTTTTTTCTTCCGGTTTTAAGCTTTGCCATTTTGGACCATAATTTTGAAGCAGATCTGCTGTTGCGATTGCTTTTAGCGTTTCAAAACTGCAAGCTGGACATAACCCGTTTATTAAAAAAATCAGACATTTTTAGGGGTCTAGGCCGTGGTTGCGCCAAGGTGACTAAAATCATCAGGTCGAATCCCAGGTTGGAGGTAAAAGGCAAGAGTCACCAGAATGAGTTGTTTATTGTATACAGAACTCCCAGTTACTGTATCATGTGGCTGGCTAGTAGCCCTTGTTTGATCCGGAGCCTCGCCGGGTGGGTCTCAATCCCGGCGGCGAGGAGGAAGTGGAGGAGCAGCATGGTCGGGAGGGGATGCTCCGTCATAAAAAAACACGGATGGAGAGGAGGGGAGATAGATCCACCACAGGAAGGTTTGGTTTAGCAGACCTTGGTTGCCGTAAGGGTGGATGGGAACGCGACGAAGACGCGTCTGCTGTGGTGTTGACTGTGTGTTGAGTGTTGACTGTTAAGTGTTGACTGTGTGTTGTGTGGGG